CCTCCCCTCCTCCCCTGCCCCCCCAACTAACACCCTACCTATCCCATACCCTTTCTGCTCCCCAGGGAGGGTGAGGCCTTCCATAGGGGGGTCTTCAGAATCTGTCAAATCCTTTGGTATAGGGCCTAGGCCCACCCCTTTTTGTCTAAGCTCAGAGAGTATGTGGAATGGGCTCCCAAAGTCTATTCCTATGCTAGGGATAAGTATTGACATACTACAAAAGCCTCATAGATTTATAGGAACTCTTATGTAAAGAAAACCCTAGTTCAATCCACAGACCCAATAAATAGATAGAGAGGTCTTGGGTGGGGGACAAGGTACTGTCTGGGAAGAGTAAATAGATTTTGTGGGTGGACTGGGGGCAGGTAGGGAAAGGAACAGAAGAGATTTTTATTTTCTTATGCAGTGATTTATCACTGTGTCAACTCACAGGTATATATAGTCATCTAGGTGTGTTTAAAATCACTGATCAGTTACAGGCCGATTTGCTGTTGGCATGCTGTTCATACTTCTGCTTGCATTTTCATACCATTCACACATTCACATTCCATTAGACAATACACAGCATTTCTTTTATATTTATAGTACATTTTGGCCTTGGAGGCTGCAAAAAATATGTTTATTTTGAAAACACCCTTCATTAGAGAAGACTTTTTAAGTCAGAGGAACAAAATTATTCATATTTTAAAATTTTAGAAGATCAAATGACTGACTGTATAATAATTAGACACTGCGACCCACACTTTCCACCTTTCCTGGGGATACATGCCTGTCAATACAGGTGTCTCTTTACTTACCTTATTTTTATGAACCCCTTTGTTTAGTAAAAAGTAACTATATAGGAAGACACTTGAATTTTTTCCTTTTCAGAAGACAGAGAGACTCTAATGAAGGAGAGAGTTTAAGATTTGCTTCAGAATTCTCAGGTTTTCAGTTCATACAAAGGTGTCAAAGTGGAGGGAAAGCTCAAGTTAGAAAGACAATAATAGAAAATACGAAGAAGGCTTTTAAGTTATCCTCTTTCTTTGCTATTTCTGAGAATCCTGGGAATTGTTTTCACAGACAACTCATTTACCTTTCCCTAAGTGACTAGACAGAGACAGCTCCTTAGGAATAAACTCCCTGAGGATATGTCTCTCACACACAATTAGTTACCTGCTATTCTGAGGAGAGGAGCCAATCTGCTGCTGCGGGATGCATTTTGAAATAGACTGATTCCATTTCCCAACACACTGAACACCAGCTAAAATGTGTACAATTAAAGATGAGCTTGTTTCAATCAATAGTTATTCTGAGGAATTTAAACGATTTTTTGATATGTCACCTCATTTAGGGATATCAAATAACAATACAGGATAATAAAATCCATGAGACTAGCAAAGATAATATGCAATAAAACATGCATTATCCACTATGAGTAATGCAGAAATACTAAAAAAAACTTCTAAATATTTAGTATTTTATCATAATAAAAAGGCAATGACAAGAAAATAATCTGCCTACTACTTATTTTACATACTTATATTCACTTGTTAGAATTTTGTCACATGGGCCATGCAGCAGTTTGAGATTTGTCCCTCATGAATTCATGCACGATCGATGTATCTAATTGTAATGACTGTATTCACTCTGTTCGTGCAGTAACTTTATGAAGTCTGTGTTATTTGGAATATTTCAATGTGTGTTAATTCAAATGCACATCAACTTGAGAAATATCGTCAAATACTTTGAATAACAGATACATTTAGAGGTGTGTTTCTCTTTGTCCTCTCATTCCATATTCCTTCCTCTAAACAAAGTCACTGATACCTGAGTGCCCCCTTTTCATTTTAGACCTGCTGGGTGTTCTATGTTCCTTTCCTCCAGATCCTAGCCCCTGGTATTTCTACCATGATCATGTCTCTCAAGGCTGATTTCAGAAGAATGATCTGGTTTCTTGTTGAGTATAGATGATGGGAATGTTCAGAGAAAGAGTAGACAGCGAAATGACAGCTGGTATGTAATATTGCCCAAGCAGGGACTCTGGTGGCACATGTTCACAGATACTGTAGTGGCTATGCCTTCACATTACTTTCTACAAACTTCTATAGGAAGTCTGGTTTCTACAAAACAAATTTGTGTTGCACACACTCCCCTTTCTTATTTCAGATCCTGTGTTCAGAACGGACTTACAGTTAGTGCCAGCTCTATGATAATCCATTACATGTTTTAAAACATTCCCACAACTTAAACACTTCCTTTACTAAATTTTCCCCATGTCCCATTTGATATAGACCATCTATGGCCAAATGATCATATGTAACAACCCATTAACAGAGATCAAAAGCACCTATAGAGATGTTGTTTTCCACCAAGGAGTATGTGCCACTATTTCTCCCTCAGGTGTATTGTGCCATGCTGGTTATTGTTGTGTTCCATAGGTATCAACTGGTTGTTTTCTTCCATTAGAATATTTCATGGAGCCTACTGGTACCATGAAAGTTAGTTCTTAGAGAGAAGGATTTCAGATCCAGTTCATATCCTCTGAGTTGCCAAGCATTGGTGGTGCACACCTTTAATCCCAGCACTCAGGAGGCAGAGGCAGGCGGATCTCTGTGAGTTCAAGGCCAGCCTGGTCTCCAGAGCGAGTGCCAGGATAGGTTCCAAAGCTACACAGAGAAACCCTGTCTTGAAAAACAAAAACAAAAGCAAAAAAACAAAACAAAACAAAACAACAAAACAGATCCTCTGGGTCCTGTGACTATAGTGCATGGTGTCTTTGGCAATAGAGACTTACCTTCCACTCCTGGGCTGTTACAAAGGGCAACAGCAGTTGCCTATGTTTGAGGAATCTCAGAGATGATGAGGCCTCTGGAGGAGTGGATTGGGGGTGGGATGGGGAGATGGTGGAGGCAATGGGAGAATGGGAAGGAGAGGGAACTGGGATTGATATGTAAAATGAGACTGTTTTTTGAATTCTTTAATTGCTACTCATATTTACATATCCATCCCCCCCATTCCCTCGACCTCTCATCCTACCATGTTCCCCAACAACCCCCCAAACCATCCTCCAACTCCTCCCCAGGGATAGTGAGGCCCTCCATGAGGGACCTTCAAATTCTGTCATATCATCTGGGGGGGGGTCTAGGCCCTCCTTGCTATATCTGGGCTGCAATAGTGTCCCTCCATAGGGAATGGGCTCCCAAAGTCCATTTGTGCTCTAGGGTTAAAGACTGGCTCCACTGTTAGAGGTCTCATAGATTGTCTTGGCCTCCTAGCTGGCACCCACATTCAGAGGGCTTGGTTCCATCCAATGCTGTTTCCCCAGCTTTATGACTAGGGTCTCCATGCTCTCACTAGGACAGGTCAACTGTTTTTTCATGTTTCTACAGCACCATCTTGGCTCCTTTGTTCATCCCTCCTCTATCTCCACAACTTGATTCCAGGAGTATGGTTCAGTGCTTAGC